GTGGGTGCCTCCGAGGTGCCTGGCCCTTACTTCCTTTTGCACCTCTCCTTGTCCAGAGACTTGACTCAGCGGTTGGGGGTCAGGACACACCAACAAGGGACGGCAGGCCGTGCCCCTCTTCATGTCTGTCCTAACAGCTGAGAGACTAGGAGACCAGAGACCATGCCTGCGCAGAGGGCACCCTTGGTTTCTAACAGCACAGTGGCCTCTCCCTGTGCCATCAGCCACTCCATCCTTTCGGAAAGTCCAGTTTTTTTTTAATGGCTTAAAGAATAAAACAAACTAGTACAAAAGAATACAGAGGAAAAATACGCCCTCCCTCCCGAGAGGTAACCCCTCCCCAGTCTCTCTTTTTAATACCTGCCCTCTATTCTGCCCTGTGAATGTGCCATAATTTATTTTGCCAGGCACCTATCAAGGGATAACATAGATTATTCTGGGCTTTTCGTATAAATCAACAGACTTTGTCAAGGGCCAGATAGTAAATATTTCGGGCTTTGTAGGCCAGGCAGTCTCTTGCAACCGCTCAACTCTAGCCCTTGCAGTTCAAAAGCAGCCACGGGTGATGTGTGAATGAGTGGGCGTGGCTGTGTGCCAATAAAACTTTATTTACAAAGCCACACAGCCGGCCAGATTTGGCCCACAGGCTGTAACTGACCAAACCCATGGGTATAAAGGATCCTACAACAAACAGCCTTGTACATGGTTGGGGCATATGTCTGAGTGTGTAGGGTAAATTCCTAGAATTATAAAAAGGCATATTCATTTTTAATTTTGAAGAATATTGCAAATTACCTTCTAAAGAATGCCTCAGTGTACACACTTCTTTTTTTTTTTTTTTTTTTTTGCGGTACGTGGGCCTCTCACTGTTGTGGCCTCTCCCGTTGCGAAGCACAGGCTCCAGACGCGCAGGCTCAGCAGCCATGGCTCACAGGCCCAGCCACTCCGCGGCATGTGGGATCCTCCCGGACCGGGGCACGAACCCGTGTCCCCTGCATCAGCAGGCGGACTCTCAACCACTGCACCACCAGGGAAGCCCAGTGTACACACTTCTTGGTGAAGTGTGCTTGCTCCTCCATTTCTTCATTACTACGTGTTGTTTTTGCCAATCTTAGGAGTGACACATGGCATCTCACTGTAATTCAAATGCACATTTCTTTTATGTGTACGAATATTTTCATGCTTTAAGACACTTGTTTAGGAGTAATAATTTGCCCTTTTTTTTTTTTTTGCGGTACACGGGCCTCTCACTATTGTGGCCTGTCCCGTTGCGGAGCACAGGCTCCGGATGTGCAGGCTCACGGGCCCAGCCTCTCCGCGGCATGTGGGATCTTCCCGGACCGGGGCACGAACCCGTGTCCCCTGCATCGGCAGGCGGGCTCTCAACCACTGCACCACCAGGGAAGCCCTGCCCACCTTTCTTTTGATCTATTGACCTCACTGATTTGTAGACACTCTTTATATATGAAGGAAATCAGTCCATGGTCATACACGTTGCAAATTGAACTGTGTTGTTGATCTCAAACAGTTTTATGGGTGGGAATCTCAGCCAGTGAATGTTTAAAATCATCTCAGGAACAAGAAGATGTCTTGCCCTTGACCCGCTGTGAAAGAAAGTGGAGAGGCAACTAGTCACAAGTCACAGAATGACAGAAGCTGGTGAGAAAGGGGGCACTAGGGTTGCCCCCTGAGGCTTGTTAGCCCACGCCCTGCAATTGTCTCAAGCAGGAAATTTTTGGGGGTGGGGGGGTGGGGGGGGCGGGGCGTGCCTCATAGCATTCGGGATTTTAGTTCCCCAACCAGGGATCGAACCCACACTCCGTGCACTGGAAGTGTGGAGTCTTAACCACTGGACCGCCAGGAAGCCCCTCAAGCAGGAGCTCTTCATCGGAACTTACTACCCCTACCTCCCTCGGTCAGTACTCAGCATCCATCAGTCAAACTTCAGTCAGTTGTATTCCTGCCCGGACAACAAGGCCTGGGGAGGGACATGGGAGGATGGGTGACGGGCAGCTACAAAAGGACAAGTGTCTGCTGGCAGAAGGTCTTGGTCTTGGAGGTGGCAGTTTAAGAGACCTTTGTTTTCTTCATGGTTGATACAGGGCCACTTGTTTTCTCCACCACTGGTGGGATTTCCATCTGAGGGAGGGTTCCCACTCTGTTTCAGGTCGCCCGTGTACATGCTCGAGTCCTTTCTTGGTGGAAGTGCTCAGCTCTTCCCTAACTGGCAAGAACCCATACGCGATGGACATAAAAACCCGTTTCATATCGTTTGCAGATACTTTCCCAGTTTGTCATTTGCTTTTCAAACATGTTTATGGTATTTTTAAAATTCTCTATTTTTTTAAAATTGAAGTATAGTTGATTTATAATGCTGTATAGTGTTTTGTTTTGTTTTTTTGGCCGCACCTTGAGGCATGCTGGATCCTAGGTCCCCAATCAGGGACCGAACCCATGCCCCCCTCAGCGGAAGCGCAGAGTCCCAACCACTGGACCACCAGGGAAGCCTCTTTCTTTTTTTTTTTTTTGTTTCTTTAAAATCAACTATAGACACATGAGAAGTTGCAAAAACAGTGCAGAGTCCCGTGTACCCTTCATTCACGCAGCTTACATCTTACTTAACCCTAGCACACTGTCACACCAAGAAACTGATGTGAATACGACGCAATTAACTAGACTCTAGACCTTATTCAGATTTTATCAGCTTTCACATGCACTCATTTATGTGTGTGTAGGTCTGTTCCACGCTGTCACCTGTACAGATTCCTAGAACCACCACCACAGTCAAAATACAGAGCTGGTGGGGACTTCCCCGGTGGATCAGGTGGTTAAGACGCCGTGCTTCCACTTCAGGGGGCCCAGGTTTGATCCCTGGTCCTAGAACTAGGATCTCAAATGCCCTGCGGCCAAAAAAAAGAAAAAAAAAAGCTGTTTATTCACCACAAAGGAGCTCCTTCATGCATCCTCTTTATTATGTCCTCACCCACCCTGTTTATGGTGTCCTGACCATGGAGAGAAAAGTCGTGATACCTGTGTTATCAAATCTTTTCCTTTATGACTGCTAGATTTCATGTCATGATCAAAAAGCAGGATCTTGAGAATGATGGGTTTTTTTCTTTTAATCCCTTCAGTTTTTTGTTTGTTTTTTGGAGGCAAAAAGGAAAACAGAGAAACAAGAGGCTTGGGGCTCAGTCTTTCTGAAAACACAGACACACACCTACCCCTCTTTGAGTAGGAAATTCAAGACCACTCACAACTGAAATACCTTGTTAGCAAAAGCGCTTGGCCACTAATTGAATCCTTCATAGTGACAGGCTGGTCAAACACAGCGCTGAGGATATGGAGATATAATGGAATCCTGCTGTGTTTAACACAGAATAGGTCTGCCGGCCTCCAATTTATGGAGCCAATTCCTAACGGGTCCACAGCAGCCAGCTGCAAAGAGGGAGCTATTTCTGCAGAAATAGTGGAGTTCCCTAATGCCCTTCACCCTGCTTCCCCTAATGTGAACATCTTACATCACTATGGTACAAGCCAGGTTACTGAAGCCAGGAAATTAACATCAGTACAATCCTTTTATCTAATATACAGGCCTTATTTGGATTTCACCATTTCTCCCTCTAATGTCATTTTTCTGGTCCCGGATTGTTTGCGTCCTCTGCCCCCAAATTCATGTTGAACCCTAACACCCAGTGTGATGGTATGAGGAGGTGGGGGGTCTTTGGGAAATGATTAAGTCATGAGGGTGGAGCCCTCATGAATGGGATTAGTGTCTTCATAAAGGGACCCTAGAGAGCTCTCTCTCTCCCTCCATAATGTAAGGACATAGCAAGATGGAGTGTGTTGAACCAGGAAATGGGCTCTCACCAGACACCAATTCTGCCAGAGCCTTGATCTTGAATTTCTAGCCTCCAGATCTGTGAGAAATAAACGTGTGTTGTTTAAGCCAGCCAGTCTGTGGGACTTTGTTATAACAGCCCAGACTACGGCAAGGATCCAATCCAGGATCCCACATTTCCTTTCCATGTCTTGGTCTCCTCACTCTGTGATGGTTCCACAGTCTTTGTCTTTCCTGACACTTTTTTCTTTTTGCGGTACGCGGGCCTCTCACTGTTGTGGCCTCACCCGTTGCGGAGCACAGGCTCCGGACGCGCAGGCTCAGCGGCCATGGCTCACGGGCCCAGCCGCTCCGCGGCATGTGGGATCTTCCGAGACCGGGGCACGAACCCGTGTCCCCCGCATCGGCAGGCGGACTCTCAACCACTGCGCCACCAGGGAAGCCCTTTCCTGACACTTTTAAAGAGTACTGCCAGTTATCCTGGTTGAATGTCTCTCAACTTGGGTTCATTTGGTATTTGCTTTGATTAAACTGAGGTCGTCCATTTTGGACAGGAATTCCACAGAGGTGCCACTGAGAATGTCCTTCTCTGCATCCCGTTGGCGGCTCCATGGTGTCACTGTCTCATTTTTAGCGACGTTGACTTGATCACTAGGCTAAAGATCGTGTCACTACTGTAAAATTATTACTTTCCCTTTGTAACTAATATGTATCTTGGGGGGGAAATACTTTGAGACAACGCAAATATCCTGTTTCTCACAGTACGTTTCCCCCACCAGTTTTAAGCAGCGATCCACGGATCTCGGCTGTAACAATCATGAGGTGTTTGCTCAACGGTGATCTGTCATTTCCTTCATTCTGCCTACATGTATTAATCTGAATATTAGTGGTGGTCTTTTATTTACTTCACTCCTTGTACATGTACGAACTGTTGGAACTGAAGGGTCAATCCCTTGCCTAGTGAGGGACGAATGGACCCTAAACCAAGGAACCTGTTCCAATTTCACGCACCCCAGTACCCTCTCTGTACTTCCAAGCCCCGCCCCAAGATGGCGGCCCGGGCCGGAGGGGCGGGGCGCTCCGGATCACGTGGTCGTGTCGACGCCGACGGGGCCTCCGGCTGACGCCCTACTTGTCCCTCGCCGCGCTCCGTCCGTCGTCCCTGCCCAGCGAACCAGATCCCAAGATGGCGGCGCCCAGCAGAAGAAGGAATGGCGGCGGCGGCGCCATGAGCTTGTGGGCCGCGCTGCTCCTGGTGGCTGTGGCGCTGAGGCCGGCACGTGCGGTGTCTGAGCCCACGACGGTGGCCTTTGACGTGCGGCCCGGCGGCGTGGTGCACTCCTTCTCCCAGAACGTGGGCCCTGGGGTATGTGCCTCAGCCACCCCGGGGACTTGAGCAATGGTGCAGGCGTAGGCAGGGCCTGGGGAGGGGGCGCGGACCGGCGGGGCGGGGTCTGGGGGGATGGGGGGAAACGGACCGGAGGGGGCGGGGCCTGAGGGGTCGCGGACCGGCGGGGGTAGGGCCTGAGGATGGAGGGCGGGACTTGGTAGCGAGGCCTGACAGAACTAAGAAGGGAGGCGGGGCTCCTGGGGGCTGGCGGCTTTGGGAAGGCTGGGTCACTAGCCTCGTCTCTAATTCCTGTCTCATGACCAGCGTGCCCAAGCAGCCTTATCCCCCAGACCCAGGTAACTCCCTCGCTGTTGGAGGGCAGGACGGGCCCAGAGATGGGGAGAGGGGAGCTGGAGGCTGATGGGCATATGCCTCCAGGGCCTGCAGAAGGTCGTCCCGCTGTAGCTCTGACCAGGGAGGAAGTGGACAGGCGTTGCTCTTTCCTTCCATTGCACAAGGTACCCCCGTCTTTTTCATTGAAATGTGGGGCCAGGCCCTCCTTACCTGGAGGTAACAGGCCTGGGTCTAGTCTAGCCCGTCCCTAGCTTATTGGAGAAGTCACTTCCTCTCCCAGTCTCCTTTTCCCTGCCTGTAACAACGATATCAATCATCACTATTTGTTGAGTACTTCCTTATAACCAAAGGATATTGTGCCAAATTCTTTTTTTTTTTTTTTTTTGCGGTACGCGGGCCTCTCACTGTTGTGGCCTCACCCGTTGCGGAGCACAGGCTCCGGACGCGCAGGCTCAGCGGCCATGGCTCACGGGCCCAAACGCTCTGCGGCATGTGGGATCTTCCCGGACCGGGGCACGAACCCGTGTCCCCTGCATCGGCAGGCGGAGTCTCAACCACTGCGCCACCAGGGAAGCCTGCCAAATTCTTTATGTGAGGCCTATGTTATGGATGAAGAAACAGAGGCTCAGAAAGTTTTGCACTTGTCCAAGGTCCACAGCGGAGCAGAGATGGGCCCCTAGGTGCCCCTCCTTCCAAAGTTCATGTTCCTAGATGGGTGGGTGCTGGAGGTGGGTGTGACCTCCCCCTTCCTGGTCTTCATCCCCCAGAAGCCATCTGGGTTGTCTGTCCTTACCCAGAATCTCCCAAGTAAGGAGACAGGTGCGGGAATTCCAGATCTGCAGACACTGGAAGGCATTGCAGGGCTGGCCTCCAGGGACATCGGCCAGAGGGATCTGGCTCCACCTCCTTTCTCTGAGTGCAGATACTCAAAAGCAGGATCCTCTTGATTCTGGATCTCAGAAGGACATCCTGAGACCCTGTACTTCAAGCACTAACGATTATCTCCTACCGAGACTCTTTTTTCCTTCCATTCTCTAGGACAAATATACCTGTGTGTTCACCTACGCATCTCAAGGAGGGACCAATGAGGTGAGTTGTTCAAAATTCTACGTGGTTTAGTACGACAATATCCATTGTCATACAGAGATGCTCTCTAGGGGACACTGGACATCAGACTATTCTTACCTAACCAATAAAAGACAGTGCTTAAGTTACATAATGACGGCAGATTCCATTCATAATTCCACGGAGTGAACAAACGTCTGGACAGAAGGAGGGATGTGAGACGTGACTCTGCCATTCCCATGAGTCTCTATTAGGGTATTCTGTTCATTTTCTGTGCTGAGTAACAAATTATCACAGACTGAGCAGCTTAAAACAACACCCATTTATTATCCCACGGGTCTGGAGGTCAGAAGTCCTGGTCAGCTCAGCTGGATGCTTCACAAAGCGACAATCAAGGTGTCAGCTGGGCTGGGTGTTCACCAGCAGGCTCTGGGGAGAACCCTCGTCCAGACACATTCCAGTTGTTAGCAGAATTCGGTCCCTTTTGGTGTGAAACTGAGGTCCCTAGTTCCTTGCTGGCTGTTTTCTCCAGCTGGAGGCAGAAGAGGAGGTAAGAGAGATTCGAAGCACGAGAAGGATGTAGTGCACCACAGCCGGCTTTGAGGGACCACGTGGGAGGGAGGGCGTGGCCTCCAGGAGCTGAGAGCGGCCCCTAGCTGGCAGCAAGGAAATGAGGGCTTCAGTCCTCCAACTGCAAGGAATGAATTCTGCTGCAACCACATGAGATGGAAGAGGACCCAGAGCTCCAGGTGGGAACGCAATCTGGCTGACACTTTGATGTTAGCTTATGAGACTGAGCAAAGAACCCAGCCCCACCACGCCCGGACTTCTAACCTACAGAATTGTGAGCTAATGAATGGGTATTGCTTTTTATTTATTTATTTATTTATATTTATTTTTGGCCGCGTCAGGTCTTTGTTGCTGCGCGTGGGCTTTCTCTAGTTGCGGTGGGCGGGGACTACTCTTCGTTGCGGTACGTGGGTTTCTCATTGCAGTGGCTTCTCTTGTTGAGGAGCACGGGCTCTAGGCGCGCAGCCTTCAGTAGTTGTGGCACGTGGGCTCAGTAGTTGTGGCTCGCGGGCTCTAGAGCGCAGGCTCAGTAGTTGTGACACACAGGCTGAGTTGCTCCGCGGCATGTTGGATCTTCCCGGACCAGGGCTCGAACCCTTGTCCCCTGCATTGGCAGGCGGGTTCTTAACCACTGCGCCACCGGGGAAGTCCGGCACAGCTTTTAATGCTACTGAATTTGTGGTAATTTGTCACACAGTGTAGTGAGTTGAATGAGGCCCCCCCCCATGAAGATATGTCCACATCCTAATGCCTTGAACCTGTGACACTTAAGAAAAACTCTTTATAGATATAATTAAGTTAAAGATCTTGAGATGAACAGATTATCCTGGATTACCCGGGTGAGCCCTAAATCCAGTGGCACACATCCTTATAAGAGACACACATGGGAGATTTGATAAAAAGAAGACACACAGAGGAAAAGGCCATGTGAAGATGGAGGCAGAGGTGGAGTGATGTGGCCACAAGCCAAGGGACACCTGGAGCCACCAGAAACTGGAAGATGTAGGAAGGATTCTCCCCTGGGGCCTCCAGAGGGAACATGGCCCTGCCCACACCTTTTTTTTGGACTGCTGGCCTCTAGACTGTGAGAGAACAGATTTCAGCTGTAAGCTACCAAATTTGTGGTGATTTGTTCCAGCAGCCCCAGGAAACGAATACACACAGCAATAGATTACTGTTACAGCCAGTAATGCACCATTACAGATAAATACTCTGAGGATAAAATACTGTTGTTAAATTCTGGCTAGACACCGCCACTTGGTTCTGTCTGAAGGGAGGGCAGCACACGTGTTTGAGAAGAGACACAAAACAGACTTTCTCCTCGTGATTGTTAGAAAGAAGGAAAGATAATTGAAAAGGAAGAATTAATTGTCACTGTGAAAGTCAGTGTAAAGCATCTTTTGTACCCGTAAATTGTGCTTTCCTCCCCAACCCTCAGACTGTAGGGAACACTACTGTCCTTTCAGAATAGTCTATGGCACTGTGTCCCCTAATAACGGACAGTCCCAGAGATGGAGGCTGCCTGGGGACCGCTCCATGTTTGCCTGCCCCTCCCAGCATCCTGGTTCTGAGTACATCTCTGCCCCCCCCACTCCCTCACTTAGGGCAGCACATTAAAATGGGCAAGAGCGGGAATTCCCTGGGTCCAGTGGTTAGGACTCGGCGCTCTCACTGCCGTGGCCCCAGTTTCGATCCCTGGTCAGGGAACTAAGATCCTGCAAGCTGGGCAGTGCGGCCAAAACCAAAAACAAAAAAACAAAAAAGGGTGAGAGCGAGTCCGCCCGCTCCACCGGGCACTGCTGACTTTAGAGGCGGGGTTGCTCTCTGTGGGGGGCTGTCCTGGGCAGCCTCCCTGGCCCCCACCCACTCGATACCAGCAGCCGCCCCACCCAGTGTGCACTGGGGGACAAAAGTGAAAACCACTGGGCAAGAGTGACATGAAATGCACTCCTTATTTTGCATATTTCCAGTTTGTAAGTAAAAGTAAATGATTCCGAGCAACAGTATTTTATGTCATTTATTTATTTTTTTGGCCACACCACGTAGCATGTGGGACCTTAGTTCCCCGACCAGGGATTGAACCGGCGCCCCCGGCATTGGAAGCGCGGAGTCCTAACCACTGGACCGCCAGGGAAGTCCCCCAGCAACAGTATTTTAACAAAATGTAGCAAACGCCTGGTGACACCCTTCCCAGCGGTGTCACCAGGGGGTGGCAGCTCTGCTGGGGAGCATCGCCGCCCTTCCGCCTGCCTCCAGGACAGCAGGCATCCTGCGATCATCCGCCCCTTCCTTGGCCACCTCCAGGCCTTGCTGCTTCTCCAGGTGGTCCACTCCATTATGGGATGGTGACAAGTGGTGGAACACTCTCCCTTGGTCCAGGCCCCTTGGTCCAGCCGTGCCCTGCCACGAGCTCCAGATCCTTCCCAAAGCGCCTTCCTCCCCCAGTCAGCCCTTTCCCTGCCTCCTTTGTTGTGTAGATGATCAATTCGTTATACAATAAAATTGTGATAGCTCCATCGCCTTGGTGTTTGTCGGGCGGCCTGCAATGTGCTGAGACAGATACACGTCTCGTTTCCTCTTCAGAACCCCAGGAGGCTGTCCTTATCCCCACCTCACACACGAGGACACGGTGGCTCAGAGACTGAAGACTGCCCTGGCTCCCCCAGCTGGGACGTGACCAAGGTCCCCAAGGCGCAGGCCCCTGACTGCCGCCCTGAGCCAAGACATGCCCCGCGTCACCAGCAGCTCAGAAAAGAACGCCCGCGCCTCCCTAACGGGACCCTTGGGATGGACAGTCCACTGCAGCGTAGGGGGAGAGAGCTAGGCTCACTCTTGGAAAGGTGGCTGGGTCACAAATTCTAAAACCAGCATCAGGCTTGATTCTGCCGTTTCGGATGAGGGGATTGATTCATCCTCAAGGAAACACCTAAGAGCCCAGCAGACACGTCCAGCACCCACTTGTTCCAGCAGCACCAGCCTAGAACTGTGATCGTCAGACACCACGGGCTGACTGCAGAGCTGCGTGAACCCAACGGTGCGACCCACGGGCTCTCTGGCTGCTGGCCTGCCGCCTGCTTAGGAGCGAACAGCCGGCCGGATTCTCAGCAAACATGCAGGGGCCGTCCAAGATGTTCTCCGGGATCCGCTTGGCCACACTTGGGGGCCCTGCCAAGATGCCCCTCGGAGCAGCTGGAACGGAAGCCCCAGAGGCCCAAGTGGCACTTCTCTAGAGCCATCGTCAACAGAGGGGAAACGGGTCTGTGGTCTGGGCTCCCAGGGGGCCCGGGATGCAGGCTGGGCCTGGGGAGAGTGGGAGGCCAGGCTGCTTTGACAGTGGTTCGTTTCTCCAGAGGGTCACCTGAGAGGCCGGCTGGTGCCGGGTGACAGCAGGCACGGCGTTATTCATGATCTCAGTGCCGGCCAGCATCCTGAGCGGCCAGAGAGCTCGTCCAAGGTTGCCGGGAATGCGGCCACTTGGGAAGACTGGCCCTTTCTTATCAAGTTAAACATACGACCCCATGCTTCCACTCCTCGGTATCTCCCCATTAGAAATGAAAACTTATGTCCACACAAAGCTTGTACGTGAATGTTCATAGCAGCCTGATTCATAATAGCCAACAAGTGGAAGCAACCCAAGTGTCCCCCAGCTGATGATGGATAAACACAGTGTGGTCCCTTCACACACGGGAACATCAGTCAGCCATGAAAAGGGGTGAAGCACTGACACTCGCTACCATGTGGATGGGCCCTGAGAACACGGTGCTCAGTGAGAGAAGCCAGACACGGAAGGACACACAGTGTGTGATTCCATGGATGGGAAACATCCAGAACAGGCAGATCCACAGACACAGAGAGTGGGTTCGTGGTGGTTGGGCTAGGGGAGGAGATGGGGGTGTGCCTGCTCATGGGGATGGGACTTCTTTGGGGGGTGATGAGAATTAGGTATAGGCGATGGTTGCACAGCTCTGAATATACTAGGTAGCATTGAAGCACGCACTTTAAAAGAGCATATCGTCTATACATGTTTTATTTTTTAATGTAAATTTATTTATGTATTTTTGGCTGCATTGGGTCTTCATTGCTGCGCGCGGGCTTTCTCGTTGCGGCAGGCGGGGCCTACTCTTCATTGCTGTGTGCAGGCTTCTCATTGTGGTGGAGCACAGGCTCTAGGCGCGCGGGCTCAGTAGTTGTGGCACGCGGGCTTAGTTGCTCCGCAGCACGTGGAATCTTCCCAGACCAGGGTTCGAACCCACGTCCCCTGCATTGGCAGGAGGATTCTCAACCACTGCGCCACCAGGGAAGCCCCATATTGTATGTTATGTAAACTGTTTCTCAATAAAGCTGTTAAAGGCAAGTGAATTATTGATATACGTGTAGCCACATGGGTGAATCTGATATGCGTTAGGCTGAGTGAGACTGACCGGCGCAGGAGACCATGTCCTGTGTGATTCCACTCAGGTGGCATTTTGCAAAGGCACAACTATGGGGACAGAGCAGATCAGTGGTTACCGGGAATTTGCAGGAAGGGGTTGACTCCAGAGGGATGGAGGAGAGATAACTGGGAAGATGGAACTGATCTGTATCTTGATTGGGCGGTGGATACACAGTGTGTGCATTTGTCAAAACTCATAGAACAGACACTGAAATGGGTCCATTTCACCATCTGTTACTTGTCTCCTAATAAAAAATAATAGCGGTTACCAATTACCTGTCCTCGATTTCACCCAGCCACTTAGATCCTGAGGCCCCTAGCCTCCCAGAGAAGGTCACAGAGGGTCGGGCTGAACAGGCTGCCCCAAAACACACCGTCGTGTGAGTGTCTGATGCCAAAACCTGAGCCTTACTAAGGGCACCTACTGCCCACCCCGGCCTGCGGCCTCGAGACCAAGGTCAAGTTCATATAACAAGACCACTCAGAGGGATATTGACCCTATTGCTAAGAAGCTCTTGGTTTAAATTTTGTTTGCTTTCATAATTTAAAAAAAAAAAAGTTTAAATGTTTGCCTCAGGACTTCCCTGGTGGACCAGTGGTTAAGACTTCAAGCTCCCAATGCCAGGGGGCCCAGGTCCGATCCCTGGTCAGGGAACTAGATCCCGCATGCCACAACTAAGACCCGGCACAGCCAAATAAATAAATATTTTTTTAAAAAACAAAGAAGCCTCATTTTCATGAATCTTTTAAGAGCTATGGAAAACCATCCCAGATACATTTCACAGCGTAAAACTGTTTCCGGGCGCTCAGAGGCCTGGAGCCGTAGGCAGGAGTTTTTAAATGGAAAATAAATGTGTTGGGCAGGTCCCCTTGCCATGCCTGCCCTACCTGAGTAATTGGCTTCTACCTTCATGCTGCAGGCAAAAGACTTCCAAGTCACCGTTTACTCACATTATAATTAACATACAAATGGCCTTGTTTCTATTAATGGAAAAGCTCTGGCATTTAACCAGATGATCAGCAATTGGATTCCACCTTTACTCTCAGGAGAGGATGGGACACTCTCATTTTCCTAGCAAAATGCAAAAACGCCGCAGGTCACCAGACCTTGCGTTTGGCCGGGTTTTCAGAGGCCCTGAAAATGAGAATAAACTGGTAGCGGTGTGTTTTGGAACCATTTAAGATTTTTTTTTTAATTTAATTTTTTTAAAAAGCTAACACAGGGACTTCCCTGGCGGTCCAGTGGTTAGGACTCCACGTTTCCACTGTAGGGGGCATGGGTTCGATCCCTGGTTGGGGAGCTAAGATCCGGCATGCCGTGTGGCCAAAAAAATAAAAAAGCTAACACACGTCATTCAAAAAGAAAAAAACATAAAAAGCTCTCCAGCGCCTTCTGTCGGCCCAGTTCCCACCCACGTCCTACATGTAACCGGGGTTATTAAAATCTTGCATCTTCTCTGAGGACGGCTCTATGCTTATGCAAGCAAGCATGGGTGTATTGTCTTTCCTTCTTTTATTTTTGTTTTTATCTTTCCCAGTAGACTTTATTTTTTACACCAAAATGGAGCGGAAGGCACAGAGCTTTCCTGTATACCCCTGCCCCCCAACCATCGCCCACCAGAGTGGGACGTTTGTGACGGTCGTTGATGAACCTACACGGACACGTCATCACCCCAAGTCCAGAGTTGCCATCAGGGTTCACTCCTGGTGTGGTGTGTGCCGTGGGCTTGGACAGACATACAATGATGCGAGGCCGTGTGTCCCGGACTGACCTGCCTGTCCTCTCTCCCCAGAAGTGGCAGATGAGTCTGGGGACCAGCGAAGACCAGCAGCACTTCACCTGCACCATCTGGAGGTGAGCGAGGGTCCGGTGGTGGGAGCTCCTCCCGGACGAGACACCTTCGTTCTGGGCGGTACCCATACTGACGGTGTCCTGCGCCCCTGGAGGGTCGCAGGCAGGAGAGGGGGTGCCGTCCTGTGTGGGACTTGAGGGCAAGGAGGGCCTCCCGGGGAAGCACGTTGACACTGAGGCCCTAAGGGGGCGGGGTGGGGGGGACTGGGAGGTGGCGTCTAGGCAGCGGCTGCAGCCCCGGGAGTGGGGCCAGGCTCCCCAGATGCCACCCCCTTCATGGTCACCTCAGTTTCACTCCTTGCTCAAGGGTTTCATCTCCCGCTGTGCCCACCCTTTTCATAATCCCACTTCCTGGAGCCCAGCTCCATGAGCCCGAGAACGGGGTGCTGGGCCCTCTGACGGGGAGGAGGGTAATGGAGCTTCACCAGTTCCTGGCCCTTCTCCCCTGGGCCTCAGGCCTGGAATGTGTCGCCCGAGCAGAACAGATTTCTCAAGCATTTACCACGCGCCTGACGTAGAAGTCCCAGCCGAGTTCTCACCCTCATGGGACCGGGGTCAACATAGGGGACGGATCAAGAAGTGGGACACAGAGAGCAGCGACAGTGACATTTAGTTAAAGAAGACGCTTGCAGGCGTTGGCGCAGAATCCCCGTCTGCTGCTCAATGCGTTACAAACCGCAGGCTAAAACGTACCAAGTATTGTTGGGGAGCTTCTCGTGGGGGCAGAAGCCCTGCGTCCTCAACACGCTACCATCATCCCCGCTGAGAGGGGAGACCCTGTCTGTGCCCCTTCCCAGCCTCAGAGAGAAGCATCCCAGAGGCAAGGAGCTGGGGTGGGGGACTCCCTAATTACAGGTTAGTAATCAGGGCTGCATCCCCCCGCCAGTAGACCACCGTCTCACACAGGCTTGTGAGCACCAGCCCTCCACCTGGGCACAGACCCAGGCCGCACTGGCCCAAAGCAGGGTCCTCAGCCCGCAGCCTCTTAGCTGACCACCCAGCGGCCCCCCAAGGACACGCTCAGCCCCAGACACCCTGCCGTTCCTAGTTAACCCCCATACTTCTCACCCCCGGGATGTGGCCCGGCCTCACCCCTAGTGCACACCTGGGATGTTGTCCACTGGATGAGAAGTGTTCTGTGAGCGGATGCGAGAGGCCCCGTTCTAGAACAGCTCCTACCCAGAAGGGGAAAGAGGCTTGTCCATCAACGAGCCAGAAGAGCATCCTGGCAAAGAGAAAAGAGTGGATCACATTGAGGGCGCCCCATCTGTCCTTCCCAGAAATGCCTGGCAGCAGATCCCATCTTGGAGAGCGGGGAGGGGGGGCACACAGCCCTGGGCTGACCCTGTCGCCCAACCTTTCTTCGCAGGCCCCAGGGCAAGTCCTACTTGTACTTTACGCAGTTCAAGGTGGAGGTGCGGGGTGCTGAGATCGAGTACGGCATGGCCTACGTGAGTGTCACCTGCACATGGGGTGGCCGCCTGGCTGGGCCACCATGGACTGCAACTTGGAGACCCCGGGGGGGTGCGGGGGGGAGTGAGGAGATGGACACCAAGCCCTTAGAGGGAGGCCTCGTGGCGCGGGGGGCCGGGGTTACGGTGCCCAGAGGGGAACCCGGCTGACCCCCAGAGACACCTGGCCTCCCTCTTGTAAGGCCCGCCGGCCTCCCACCAGTGCCCCCTGCTGGCAAAGCCAACAGGAAGTCGGGGGCAAGGGGGCTCAGCCCTGGGACAGGGGCAGCGAGGGCGGAAGTTGGCCCAGGGGGCAGGTGGGCGGCTCATTGGCGTCGGGAGGGCCCCACGCCCCTTGGCTCCAGTGACCTGTGGTTCACAGGCCAGCCAGCACCTTCTGCTGCGCTCCTGACCCCCACGGCCCCTCCAGAGCCCAGCCACTCTGCAGAGCCCACCCCTGCTTCTTCATCTGGGTCAGAAACAGTGTGAAAATCACCTTATCAGTCCCAGAAGCAGAACCAGTAGGAGACAGGCATTAAGAGATTCACTGCCAGGAATCGGCTTCCACTGTGCGAGTCTGGCTTTGGGGGTTTCCTCCAGGGAAGCCTCAGCTCTGCCCTGAAGGCCCTCCCCCTGATTGAATCAGGCCCGCCCAGGTCCCCGAGGATAATCTCTTTTACTTAAAGTCAGCTCAGGATGAGCCTCTGTCACATCTACAAAATTCCCTCCCAGCAACCCCAGCAAGGGTCTGATTGTATAACGGGGACTGTGGCCGCTCCAATGACACATCAGACTGTCTGTCCATCAGACTTAACTAATCGCTCTCTGGGGTCCCTTCTTACTTTGAAACTCTATTATTTTTACTGATTTGAAAAAGACACAATTCTGCTGTTTAAAAATTACATGCAAGAAGAGACTGCCATGCTAGTATCATTTCCATAAATTAACTAAAAAAAAAAATTCCCTTCGATTTGCAGGGAAGGCATGAAGTTTTAAGCTAGTTGACAATCTCTTAAGTGGATTAACCCACTGCTTCTGCTGGATTCTCTTTTATGTGCTTCAAAAAGCATCTCGCGGCTCTTCAGCAGAAGCATGCAGCTTTAGTCTCTGCTGCTCTGCAAAGCAAAGCGAGCCGTGTTCCTTCCCCATTAGAAAAGTTTCCACTTGTTCCCTTTCAGTCGAAAGCTGCTTTTGAAAGAGAGAGCGATGTGCCCCTGAAAAACGAGGAATTTGAAGTGACCAAAACAGCAGGTGCGTAGAGGGGTTTGTGGAGCTGGAATCTAGGTTCTCAAGCAGGGAGGGGGTGAGAGAGGGGACAAGACCCCCGCTAGAGGGCGATCCAGGGGCCCTGTGGTGAGAGGAGGCTGCCATCCCTAAACGGCTTCCGCAAAGGGCCACCTAGTAAATATTTTCGGCTTTGGGTCCCCCTTGGAAACAACTCGACCCAGACCCCGTAAGGCAAAGTCAGCCATAAGCCACTAGTCAGTGAATGGGGGTGGCTGCCTTCTAATAAAACTTTATTTCGTGAACACTGAACTGTGAATGTCATATCACTTTCCCATATCACAGGACGCCATTTTTCCTTTGATTTTCCTTAAAGCTATTTGAAAGTGTAGAAACCACCCTTCGCTCACGGGCGGCAGGCACACTTGCCCGATCCCTAGCAGAGAACGGAGAGCATGAGAGTCTGTTCTCGGAGAGCTGCATCCTGGGACACTCAGCTCCACAGGAGGCCAGGGAGCAGGGGGCCGCGGGGTCTGACACCTACACAGCCTGGCCGTCCTGGGCTCCGTGACAGCTTCCAGCAGCACAGTCGGGACCTTGTGCATGCATGACACGGGAGGCAGGGGTCACCTCCTGGGGCCCCGAGACTCCCTGGCCTCTGACCCCATTCAGCTGTAGCCATGCAGGCCAGATGCCGAGCAGAAAGAGGGGCGGTAGGCACCCGAGTTGGGGCTCAGGGTGCGAGAGCAAGGGGGGATGAGTGAGTGAGACAGTGAACACGGGGCTGAGCCGAGTCGGGGGGCCCCGAGGGTCCTGAAGGACGGGGGAGAGATGAGGTGAGGAACCCATGTGGCCGTGGACGTCACCAGGCACCAAAGGGGAGGGGAGGGGAGGGGAGTGGGTGGCATGAGCAGGGCTTTTAGGAGGGCCTGGAAGGAGGCCCGACCTGCCCGCAGGTCCTCCGGGTGGGGGCAGGGGCCCGTTTATAGTGGAGATCAAGGACAGAGGGGATTGTGTTGCTGCAGACCCTGAGCTCCAGGGAGCATAGATGGTGAGGATGGACAGGGAGTGGGGGGCAGGCTGGGTGTGCAGAGCAGGGGGCGGCCAGGTTCCCTGACCCTGCCCGAAGAGCGTCAGACACGTTTGCCAGTGCAAACCTCCAAACCCCGGCCATTCTCAGTGTGGCAAAAATGACCACGGCTCTTCCCATGTCGACATCTCCCATGGCCTCCCACTGCCCTCAGGACAGGCCCACAGCCTCCCCGCCTTTCTCCTATCCCTCACCCGTAAGACATACAGGGCCAGGGGCCTTTCCCTGTGGAGTCCACTCGGAGACTGCTCCCATCGTTGCCCGCACCCGGCTCAGGACCCGGAGGATTTGCACAGGCGAGGGCTGACCAAGGGTTTCTTCTTTTGCAGTGTCCCACAGGCCCGGGGCCTTCAAGGCTGAGCTGTCCAAGCTGGTGATCGTGGCCAAGGCGACACGCAGTGAGCTGTGACCAGGAGTCCCTTTGAGGGTGGCTTTTCCTCATCTCCGCTGAAGGAGCTGGGCCCCATGAGGGCCCAGTACTGGTTTTCTTGGGGGGTGGGGGCTGTTAATTTTCTGCCCAGGCTGATGTTGCCCCGTTGAGAGGGCTTTGCAGGGCAGCTGAGGCGCCAGGGCAGAGTCCGGAGGGCCAGGACTCTCCTGGCTCCCACCTTCCCCTCCCCACAAGGAGTGTGGCTCTGAGACCCACTGCTCTTCTTATCAGAAGAGGCGTCAGGGCACAAGGTGGGGCTCACGGGGGTCACAGCTTTTCTGAAGCCAGCAACGTCTCCCCTGGATCAGGCCAGGCTTCAGGATGCTCCTGGGGGGAGCCGTCCTGCTGCTCTCTGACCCTAAGCCAGCTGTTTTCTTGTCATCCCCCAGGGGACCAACTTTCAGACTAACTGGGCAGAAGTGAAATGTTCTTTCATATTTAAATAAATAAGACAATTAAAAAGTAACCACACAGTCTTGGCATCTGGCACTGGTGCCCACCTGGCTGGGCACGTGGGGCTGGGGGCCCCTACTTCCCTTCGCTGCTGGAGACGGGTTAGCTGCATCACCCTGGGCACAGGGACTTTTCTGCAGGCGCAGACGTGCGGGTCCCGAGGCAGCTGGACCTTGCCGAGCCCATGGGGCCACGCCCAGCAGAGGGTGAGCGCTCCAGGGCAGACCTGCTCTTCTGCATCCTGTGGTTGGCTCTGCTTACTTTTTTTTGAGGTCGGATTGCAGCTCGGTGACTTTAAAAAAGAAACAAAAACCTGCAAGCAAACCAAAATAAATAAACGATATCCCCAAAGGCCTCAGCCACTCAGGGGAGCCTGGTCTCCCAACAGCAGGGCCTGGGAGTCTGACCCCCACTGGACTGTCACCCTGACCTCTGACTGTGAGGAAAGAAACCATGTGGCCATGAAGTGGGTCCTTGATGATCAGAATCACCACGTTGGGGCGACTGAGGTCTCTCTGTTCCTGTCACTCACCTGGCCCTCCCTCATGCCACCCAGGAGCCCGGTGCTGCTGTGACCCCACCTGCCCCGGGGCCTCAGCGGTGCTGATGTAGGAATGGCTCCAGAGAGAGGCGCAAGCAAGATGAACAGCTGTTCCCAGAATCACTGAGGGGGACCTTGGGCCCACGGTACTCGGGGCAGGGGCGGGGCACCAGCAGCCTCAGTGGTCAAGCACACATGATCTGCACCACACCTCGTGAGCAGCTCTGGAGGCACACACGTCCTCCGGGAGGCTCGCTCCACCGAGCACGACGACCTGCAGTTCTCAACAGGGCCCAGGAGATGATTGCCCAGGGCCTCCTGCAAAAACCAGGCAGCTGGACACAGGCAGAGACGATGGTGCACCCTGGGCCCCGAGGTGTGTGAGGGCCAGACCCTGGCTGAGAGGGATATTGATTCTTCTATGGTCAGCCTGGAGTCACTTACCACTTCCAAGTACTGGGCGCCAGCAGGGATGCAGAGCGGTAGGTGCAATGTGCTGGGACACAGCAGGGCACCTCTGGACACAGAGAAGCTTCCCCTTTACTCCATGTGATGTGTGCGTGTGCCTTTATGGAGCTTTCTGGTGAGCGAAGCCACCCGGCCCCAGGACCTTTGGTCATTATGAGGAGCTGGACTGAGCCCTGTCTGGGCTGCAGAAGCCAAGCTCTGCCACCTCTGCTAGTCTGCTAGTCTGTCATCCAACGCAGCGGGAATCAAGCCTGCCAACAGGCTGCGGGTGTGTGACGTTTATGTGCAACCTTGATTCAAAACGCAAAAACCCTAGGCGGGTGAGAGCAAACTGTCAGATGCTTTTATTTACAGAGTTTTGTAGCGCTCTTTGGTTTTTTAAAATTAAATCTCAAGTGTATGAAAAGAGTCCAGACAGGTACAAAGCCTTATCACATGGATATATGCCTGCAGAGCAGAGGGCAAAGGATTTCGTGTGGGGCTTCTCAGCGTAATCAAAATGCACGACTGTTCATTTGAAGATGTCTTTTGACCCAAGATAAGAGGGAAAGTTTGCCTTGGAAGTGGAGGGCAGAGGTAGGAACAGCTGGCTCCTGAGTGAAAGCCTTTGACTTTTTCAGAGCAGCAGAAACCAAACAGAGAAACGCTGCCCTGAATCTGGGGTCCTAATCTATCAGCCAGCCCCTCATGCTGTGGAGAGGCAAAAGGGAGTGGTGGGGACTGTGGCAAAACAAAGACGGGCAACCTCAATGCAGCTTCACCATTGGGCAGTGCGGGCGCGTTTTCTAGAGAACCGACAAGATCAAGATCGGGACGTGCTATTTCCTTGGTTTTAAGTGTTGGCAACTAATTCCAAATGTCTCAAACAGAGGATGGGGCTAAGCAAACCCATCTTCTTGCCTAATAAGGCCTGCAGGCCTCCTGTTTGCAGTCTTTGCCCTAAACCAGGTTCTGCAAAAATAGACATCGTTCCCCCCCTCCCCACTGAGTGCCCAAAATAACCTTCCCGGCCCTGACATGGCCAGACCTGCAGCCGGGTTTCACATTCTTTTAAAACCCATGCCCACTTCTGACAAATCACAAATAACGCTCCCACACCCCAACGTGTCCATCCACGCCCCAAGTTAAGAATCGCCGCACCAGCGTTGCCAAAGCCAAGAGTTGTTGAGCTTTGTTTCTGAGGCCTGTCTTATAAAAACAATTGTTTGTTTTCCAAATATGAAATCATCATTTAAAAACATGCACGCATCTCAGACAGCTTTCCCCTGACACCCTGCATGGGGGGCACACTCCGTTCCTCTCCCATGTGGGAGTCTGGGCCACGATGCCAACCAGACGGAGGAGGCGTCCTCACTGACACACCTGCACCCACCGCGGCCCTCGCGTGGCTCCCAGGGCCCATTTCCTGGTCTGCGGAACAAAGTACCCCAGCCTGGGAGGCTGAAACAACAGAAGCTTGTTCGCTCTCACCTCTGGAGGCCTGAGATCAAGGGGTCAGCGGGGCTGGTTCCCTCTGAGGGCTGTTCCAGGCTCTCTCCCAGCTTCTGGGGGTGGCTGGCAGTCCTTGGTGTTCCTTGTCGTTCAGACACATCCCCCCAGTCTCTACCACCACCTTCATATAGCATTGTCCTCTGAGTCTGTGTCCAAATGTCCCCTTCTCATAAGCACACCACTCAGAGTGGATTAGCCACCCCCGCTCCAGTATGAACTCAACTAATTACATCTGCAATCACCCTATTTCTAAATAAGGTCATATTCAGAGGCCCTGGGGCTTGGGACTTCGAGGAACTTGGGGCGGGGGAACAGCTCACTGTGTAACACTCCCTTTCTCCTGGTTCCCCATGATCCTCTCTGCAGGAATGCAAAAGCCCAGGCAACATTATGAAGTGGGAAGCCGCCAGCTGTCAGAGACACCAAGTGATCTGAGGGGTTCAGACCGGTGGCTCAAGGGTTATTGTGCAGACGGTGCGCCGGAGCAGGCAGTGGTCTCCAGGTGCCCCGGGAGGCAGCTGGCGCAGGCAGGCCGTGCCGGGCTCCACGCTGAGTTCCTCTCCCCACGGAGACTGGGCCGGAGGAGGAGAGGTGACCTGGGTCCTTAGAGCTGCAGAGGCGGGCGCGCGCGCGCGTGTGTGTGTGCGTGTGTGCGCGCGCGAGTGTGTGCGTGTGTGTGTGTTGGGCGGGGAGATTTTGGCCAGAGTCAGACTGGGAGAAAAGAGGTTAAAAAACCCCCCGCAAGCCCCGCCCCCAGCGGGAAGCCGGAACGAGGAGGTCGGAGGTCAGGTCGGAGGTCATATGCTCTCCTCGTCCAGCAGCCGGGTGAGACCCTCGCAGATCCTGCGCAGGTGGGAGCGGTAGGGCTCAGCCGGGCCGTAGAGCGCGGCGAGGAAGTCGCAGTCAGCCAAGTGGCCGAACACGTGGTTGATGCGGCCGTGGGACTTGGCGGTCAGGTGGGCGCCCGCCGCCTGGTGCAGCAGGTCCCGGCACTCGAGCAGGGCGGCGGCCAGGACGCGCCGGTCGAAGGTGAAGTCCACCTGGTGGAAGCTGACGGCGGTCATGGCCAGGCGGCGGGCCTGCTGCCGGAAGCGCTGCAGCCGCGCCAGCTCCTCGCCGCCCAGCTGCCCGCTGCGCAGCAGGACACCCAGCTTCACGGCCACTTTGACCAGGTTCTTGACCACCTTCTGGGCCTCCTTGCGGCTGCGGGTGAACTCCTTGGTGGCGCGGTACAGCTCGTCCAGCACCTCGCTGCTGGTGTCGTCGATGAACGCGGCCGCCACCGCCCTGGATGCCATCTTGCTCAGGAGCTTCTTCTGGGCCTGGAGGGCCAGGCTCTTGGTGCTGAAGGTGTCCATCCGCCCTGCGCGGGGGTGGGGACACAGACCCGCCGTCAGCCCGCACGGCCCGGCTGCCAGGGGCTTGCCTGGGCGGGCCGCTAACGTTGGCGACCACCGTCTTCCCAGTCCGGGAAATGGGCACACGCCACCAGCCTATCTCCAGGGGAGCCTGCGTGCCCATTCCACAGACCTACTGTGTGTGCCAGCACTGGGTGTACAGAGCCGACCAGCGAGCCCCCGGGAACACAGCAAGTGCTACCATCCGGGAAGCTGCAAGAGCCCACATAGCACAGGAACCCCAGCAGATCAAGAGGGCCGAGGCTGACCTCCTGGAGGAAGAGACAGGTGAGAAAATGGGGAGGGCATCCCAGGCGGGAAGATCCCCATGCTCCAAGGCCTAGAGGAGGGAAATTCCAAGTAGCAGGAGCACAGAACGGCAGAAACTTGTGGAAAAAAATAGCAAAATCTATTTTTAGGAAAAGCTCGTTTAAAAAATAGCATTCACACTGAAGAGATGATGACCCAAGGGACCCTAAGGGAATTTGTTTCTAAAAAAAGTCAAAGGAATTAATGTGTAATGTTGAAATCTGGGCAGGGCCTTCTGTTATGGTTTATTACAGGATACTGAATCTAGTTCCCTGTGCTATACCATAGGACCTTGTTGTTTGTCCATTCTGTATATACTCATTTGCATCTGCTAATCCCAAACTCCCAATCCTTCCTTCCCCTACCCACCCTCCCCCTTGGCAAACACAAGTCTGTTCTCTATGTCTGTGTGTCTGTTTCTGTTTGCTAGATAACTTCATTTGTGTCCTATTTTAGATTCCACATATAGGTTTTATCATATGGTATTTGTCTTTCTTTTTGACTTACTCCCCTTAGTATGAGAATCTCTAGGTCCATCCATGTTGCTGCAAATGGCATTATTTCATTCTTTTTCATGGCTGAGTACTATTCCATTGTGTATGTGTACCACATCTTACTTATCCATTCATCTGTCGATGGACATTTAGGTTGTTTCTATATCTTGGCTATTGTGAATAGTGCTGCTGTGAACATTGGGGTGCATGTATCTTTTCGAATGAGAGTTTTGTCTGGATATATGCCCAGGAGTGGGATTGCTAGATCATATGGCAACACTATTTTTAGTTTTTGAGGAAGCTCTATACTGTTCTCCATAGTGGCTGCAACAATTTACATTCCCACTAATAGTGTAGGAGGGTTCTCTTTTCTCCACACCCTCTCCAGCATTTGTTACTTGTAGACTTTTTAATGACGGCCATTCTGACCAGTGTGAGGTGATACCTCATTGTAGCTTTGATTTGCGTTTCTCTAATAATTAGCAATGAGGAGCATCTTTTCATGTTACCTGTTGGCCATCTCTGTGTTTTCTTTGGAGAAATGTCTATTTAGTCTCCTGCCCATGTTTTGATTGGGTTGTTTTTTGGTTATTGAGTTGTATGAGCTGTTTGTATATTTTGGAAATTAATGGGCAGGGCCTTCTGAATCCTACTACTTGTGGTCCCTGGTACCAGCCCTGCAAACCCACTGTATCCTTGCTCAGAGTTGAGAAGGGGCTCAAGGTGAGTTATCACTGGGGGGTGGGGGTCCAGCTTATCATTCCCCTCTTCCTGCAGCTCCATGAGACAGGGTCCCAGCCCAGCCCCTGGGCTGTTCAGGGTGGAGAAGCCTAGGTACCAATCCTCCTGTCCTCCTCACCCCCTTGAGTTTACAACGGACATCCTGAGACCTTAGTCAGGCCCTGAATGAGTCAGGGGGGCAGTGACCTGGGTGGGGGTTCCCCAGGGCCATTTGTGGGGTTTCTGGAAACGCATCACTCTGCTGATTCCTCTGATACAGAAATATTGACTTGCATCAGCTTCCGCCCAGGAAAGGGCCAGGGAGGTGGCCAAGGTGAATGGCAGGCTGGCTCTCTGGGAACAGTGACCAGGCCTCCAACCGCAGAAGCCTGGACCTCTGTCTATCCCTTATGTCTGACTCCTTTTGTCCTTCCTGCATGGCAGTCTTCCAGATCCCCCGGGCTCTGGAGGCTCCCCTTCCAACCACCTCCTTCCTGCAGCGCCAGAATTCTTCCTACATTGCACATCTGGGCTTAGCCCTTTCCTTGTAAGAACCAGCTGGCAGCTCCTCATGGCTCTCAGGACCAAAGCCCACACCTCATTCCAGCCCCTGCATCTTCCCTGGTGAGCTCCTATACATCCCCCAACACCTTGGCCCCCAAAACCCTGCCTCTTCTCTGGTGGACGCATATACATCCCCCAAAAGCCCTGGCCCCTAAGCCCCTGCCTCTCACCCTCGCAGGTTCATCCCTCAGCTCAGCCTGGACACCACCTCCTCTAGGAAGCCACCCCCGAACAGCCAAACTGACAGTGAGGCACCTCCTCTGAGCCACAGAGCACCCCAGGCATCCCTCATCAC